CAAAACTAATCCAGAAAGCAATCGCTGTTATAATGAAACACCCTCATGCCTCGTTACCTCTCATTCAGACGATCGGCGTCCAAAGAGAACGAACTTCGCCACAAGCGCCTCGCTGCTAATTGTCTAAATCATAATTAAGAAAAAAAAATTGAAATGAACAAACACAATAACATCACCCATATTTGCATCTCACGCCATCTGGCGCCATCTCCAACAGAATTTTTGAATGTATGTATAAGGAAGAAAACATAGTCAAACATAGAACAAGCAACGAGTATATATACTAAACGAAGAATTGGGAAGTCATTGACAGGTACCTGCCATATAAAACCACAGAGCCTCCAGCATTCGATGTGACATGGCAGTCACTTGACGTGGAACAAGCCGCATGGCTAAGTCGCTTTGACAACAAAGTCAGGGACTGAGAAAGAAGCAGAAGAAAAGTCCGGAAAACAATCATCAGTGAACCGAAACTCCAGGGCTGCAGGAGAGTCATAGCAGTGGTCGAGGATCAATCATTTAATATCATGCATGTGGTCTATTTTGAGTCCAACCGTCCGGATTCATCCGCATGTGGCCACATCAGCTAGAATGAGGGGCCTGCTGCGATGGATCACGAGGATGACTGAAAGATCCTGTGCGGAAAGAAGGGCCTCTCATGCTCATGCCATCCATGCTTGAAGGTCTGTCTTGAGGCAGGTTCGGCAGGCCGTGAGCCATGTGAGGCATTTCCTGGGGATGAGACGTCGGGGTCATGGGAAGCTGATATGACATAGTAGGCTGAGACATGGCGTGACTGGGTGTAGTACCATACTCCATTGGGTTGAAGAGATTCTGTCGGAACGAAGGCGTCCAAGGGTCGAAGCTGGCCGAGTGCTGCATGGGCAGGGGTGCTTGGCGGTGGTGGGAAATCGGCTCCGGTGCTGAAGAGGTGATGGGTGCCTGTGTCAGGTAATCAAAAGCGGCAGGTGTCTCATTCGGGCTGACCAGTGCCGTTGTTGCAGGGGTTCTGAGCATCTGCTGAGATGCATAATCTTCGGTATACTCAGATGTCGTGGGAAAGAAGGTCCGATCATCCCGGGGCGTTTCGCCGAAGCTCAATGACTCGGGTAAAGGAAACAACTGGTTTCTGTCATCTCCCATATTCATTGGGCGACTTGGTGCCGCCATGCCCATGTGTTCGACTGGGCTCGACATCAGGCCGGTCGAGTTCATCTCAGAGTGGTGAATGGGCAGTGCCTCATCTGCATTATCGTCTTCTTGTTCATGCTTCTGGTCCGGATCCACATTGGACTCAGCATCTTTCTCTTTCGGGTTCGACTCTCGGTTGACAACGTATACGATCGTGTTGGCATCTGAGGCTCGTCAACAGCTGTCAAAATGAAATTCCATGGACAGAAATTGCCACACGTACCAACTTCTCCTCTTTCATAGAGTTCTTCCATCCTCCTCACTCTGAAGACCTCGTCCAAGATTTGGAGTCTGTGTGGGCCTCTGAGCTGCCGCTTGCAGTCGTGGGCAATTTCCTGCAATTGATCCGTGGTAATACCGAATCTTCCAAGCTTGCGGATGATATGAATCAACAGAGACAGGCGTTCTAAATATGTCAGCAAGTTTACTTGACAGAGGAGAGTTTCTGGGGAGGTACACGTACGATCCTTTCGAAGATGGTCAGGCTCCTTGTGAACCACATCGGCGGGCCACCATTCGGGCTTTGTCTTTTCTGGGTCGCCCTTCTTACCTGGAGGGGCTCCCGCGGGGGGTTTACCTCCGTTGTAGGGGTGCTTGACTTGCTTCCTTGGCTCGATGAACTTAATGAATGCCTTTGCAATCTGACGACAGTTGAGCTGCTGGAAATGCTTCAAGGATCTCTCATAGTAGTCGAGGACTTTAGGAGTATCACCGATTTCAAGCCCGACCATGTCCACTGATCCACAAGAGGGCGTTTCCTCAACGGGGCTTGAGAACTGAACGGATGACGGCCCACCGTACATAGAGTGGGCTGGGGAATTTCTGCGCCGCTTGTTCTGACGGTAGGGCAAGTGACCAAGCGGTTGTTGAGGATCATAGCTATATGGTGTGGCACCGGCACCTGACAGCCCTGTTCAAATGAGATCAGCGGAAATATCGCACTTGTGTGTAGGGGATCTACATACTTCGAACCATGGGGCGCTGATACCCGATCTTGGCACCGAGGATTTCCAAAAATCTTTCACGGACTTCGGGTGTGAAAACAGTCCCATTTTGCTCCTGGATAGACGGAGACTCCGTTACCTTGAGTCTACCCATGTTGTCGAGATAAATCATGGCGTAGTGGGCATAAGGGATGTTGATCGACGAACGCACGGAGAGACCCATGGGCTATGTAGGACATGAGTCAACTCCATATGTCTTTCCGATACCGGTCTCACTTACCGGGACATTATCCCAGCCGTTGACATCGTCCTGCATGCATGACGCTGGCCTTTTGCTGGAGCCCACCCCAGGAGCAGGTGCGGTGAACACCATTGTGTAATTTGAGAGGTTGACGTTGACAAAGGTAACACAGATCGCGGTTGAGCAGGTATATCGTTGGATAATGTGGAGTTGAAGGTTGCTCAGGCAGTACGGTTACTGAATTGCTCAGAGGTATAGATAGTGCTCAACGCATGAAGATGCCGTCGAGTTCTGGGCGAGTATGTAGCTGCGATGGCGGCAATATATATTGTCTTGGAGGTCTTTGTTCTATCTTCCAACGAGATCAGAACCAGATGATCCGAGATGGTGATGAAGCTGCAGAGATCCAGGTCTGGTGAAGCCATGGCAGGACGCCAAAGGCCGCTGATTAGCTTTGGTTTGACACTTGGAAAGATGCGGCATGCCAGCAGCCTCAAAGGGGAAACAAGATACAGCAATGAGAAAGGCCAAAAAATTGAGATAAGAACGTCCAGCCGCAAGCGAAAGCCAGCACTGCGGTTCGAGTCCGTGACCCCGCCATCTGCTGTAGTTTGCTTCTGAAGGCAGACAAGCCATTTCGGGGCAGATCGACGCCCGTCAAACAGAGTTGAGAGGGGATAGTATGCGTGACAAGTGACGACATGCTACTCACAGGATGCACCCAGCCGAGAACAGAGATCAAACACCCAACGGAGTTCGAGAGCACGCAATCAAGATCGGCCCGCGAAGGTGGGAGATGCTGCAAGATGGATGCTGGCAACCGATTTCGTCACACAGATGGCGGGGGTGACAAGCAGCAACAGAGTTGGAACTAGATCAAGAGTACTTTGCCCTTTTCTTTGTTTTCTCCTTCGGGGCTATGTACGGTAAATGGGAATGATGACACGAAGTCAAGCCAAGAGAAAGGACAATCGATGATTGACAGATGAGAAGTTACCAATAGCTCAAGGGAACACTCGATACCCTCAAGGAGAGAAGAAGTAGATGAGAAGAAGAAGGATTGGAGCTCTGGGACGGGGGAAATGGCAGTTTTTCAGTGTTGGCGATGAGAGATTGGAATGCCTGTGCATCTGGATATTGATGATAGCGAGAATATAGCCACTGGGACTTTTTTTTTTTTTTTAATTTATTATTATTATTATTTCCTTATTTTTATTAATATTTTATTTCATTTTGTGTTTTTGAGACCCCTCTCTCATAGTCCAGCTGCCATCGAATTGAAGGGCCGTCCCGATTTGGCCATCTAAGACTCCAAGACTCCAACTTAGTGGATGACCCGCCAACATGGATGATCCTGGGAGCGCATCAAACTCGAAACGCAAGATAGTCTACAGCTGCTAAAAAAGCACCGGTCCAGAGCTGCGGGCTGCATCTCTGAGGCAAGGACATGCAGTAGTAGGGCGGTATCTGTACTTCTTTTATTTATTTCTTTTTATAAATTACTATAGTTGTTGTTATATGAATTTATTTCCTACTTATTTATCGAAATTATTCCTTTTCTTTTTCCTGCAGCCATTATTCGCATGGACATTTTCCTCATATTTACCCATCGTTGTAGATCGTTTTAACCACCCCCAAGCCTTCTGCTCTACTAGTAGGTAGGCTTCGTTTGGAGGATGCCATTCAAAAGCACCGTGGCTTACGGATGGTTGCTCCATAGCCATAGTACTGGCACGCTGGTTTCTAGATTAGACATTTAAGTTCAGACTCGATGTCTATAGAGTACTCGCGCAGATGGCCATCAAACGCACATCTACAACAAATGATTACTATAGCCTGCCTGGGAGGAATCCACCCTCAGTCTGCCAGAATAATTAGTCGTCCCTAGTCTATACAGTACTCAACGGATATTTTTAAAGAATGACAAGAGCACCAGAGCCTTGATAGCAGGATCGGGAGTTGCTTTATTAGCAGATCAACTAGTTTGTGGTTAGTCAGGACTCTAACAGCCACTTAGGCCCGGGGATGGAGTTCCTGGGGCGCCATTAGCAGTGGCCCCCTCGTCAGTAAAGACGGTCTTTGGCAGCCAGTCGCTTCCCAGTAAAAATCGTTTGTTTTTCCAGACACCAGGGGATCGGGGCTGTCAGTTGGAATTGCTGCCCATGCAGTGGTAAGTTACCACTGGTAACTCATGCTCATCTGTGCTTCGACGTGCTTTCATGGATATTGCCTGTGGATCAAGTTGGTTGACATTTTTCCCGCACTGAGCGCCATGCTATGGAGCAATATTTCTTCTTTGCCTATGGATATCGAATCCCGATCCCGCCTAGCCTCTTGTTCAGTACTTCTGTCTAGTCTTCTTCAGCGCACAATTCTTAGCATACCTATCCATTCTCTTCCGTACTGCCCCCTCTACTACAGTACGTGGAGTACCTCAAACTGACAGAAACCTCGGCTTAATCCTTCCAGTATTCTCCATCAGTTTCCCCGGTTGATTTGCATACTGTACGACATGACTCCATATATCAACCAGAAAAAAGTCTACCTACCGGAACCACAACCAGGATTTGTAAACAGACTTTGTCTCTGAAGAAAGAAGATACCGTGCACAGGCCACAGACCCGTTAGCTTTTACTTTCAGAATCAAACTTCAGGGCGGTTTTCCTTTCGCCCAGTCCCACATCGCCCACGCTTGGACCAGGTGCTTTGCAATCTAGCCCCAAGTAGTAAGTGTTAGTCATCCAAAGCTCTGCATCTAGCCTATCCATGTGTCTTCCATACCATGTACTGCCCCTCTACGTGCATACGTACAATTACAGCGCAACAGCGACGATCCAGTACATCGTACAGTACTATGTGGCTGAGTTTACTGCACCTGAGCATACCTGATACGCAGAATCCGTTGCCCTCGACCTCGAAGAGGCTCGGAGACTCCCAATCACCGCCACAGTTCAGTTGATCTCTAGCCACATCCTGCATCTCGCACATTGTATGGGATGACGCACGCACAATCTTGGTAAATACCCCGTACGCTGTATTCACCGACAGCGAGATCCCCCTCGCCACCATGTTGTTACACTCATCGAGCTTGTAAACTCGAATTCAAGCTTTTAGCCGTCTCCATGATTGACCTCACGGCTCTCCCATCGTACTTCTGCACACACATTAAGCATAATGGCATCATACTGAACAGGGTTACTGACAAGGGTAAGAATTCTGATATTCTACGGAGTTTATCCTATAGGTAGATTCCATTACGCCCAAAGGGGACACGAGTGCGAGTAGGGAACGGATCAAAGTACCTAAGCTACCTAAGGTACAGACTATGACTACGGACCAATGGTGGATTGGATTTGGTGCGAGATTACAGGTACGATTGACCAAGGAGAAGGATCCGGGGCCGCCCTGATCATGGACGGATCTTATCGACTTGTGCCCCGAACGCTAGTCGAGGGGCTATGGGCCAATCAGAGAGCTGGGGAAGCTCCTTGGGCGGTTTCTCCAGAGGAAAGTCGGAGGGGAGATGGCCCTGAAGAGGCTTGTGCATAACCCGGCATCCTGGGAAGGGGAAAATCCAGAATCCAAATCGGTCGTAAGCTTTTAATCCTTAGAGTTTTGGCTTTTGTACGATATTCTGTCTACCATGAAGAGTTCGAAATGTTATTATTGGAGGTTCGGATGAAGAGCGTTTACTGTTTTGAGCTACGAAGTACAATGGGCTTATGAGATCCGAATCACAAAAGGGGGTAATTCCATGCGCCAGTTATGCGCCTAGCACAAACTACTGACTAATGTGGACAAAGAAAAGAAGACCCTAGAATCAATATGAGATTTGAGTCGACAAATCAGGACGGGGGAGCAGTTTGAAAGCTGGATTCTAACAGTGACATTTTCCTTTTCCTTGACCGGGGGTGGCATCCTCCATCTAATTACGCAGTGGTTCAATAGGGCCCAGTCAATTTGTCACTATTACTTGACAGTTAAAAGAGTGCTCCGTACTGGGTACTATGGTAGCAGGGACAACGAAAAAGCAATAGCAGGAAAACCAAGGTCTCGGACTTTGATGTCAGATGGCAGCAACGTTGACGTTCGTCTGCTGTGTCAGGCTACCTGCCAGTGACCTCACCACAGCCAATGCGATTTCATCAGCCATCTATTCGCGACGATCTAAGAGATAATGTCCTCGATTTTAGCCCCAACCCTGGACGAGTGCGAATCCTCAACGTCACTGCCTGTCACTGAGTTAGCTTCTACTCAACCCGGGATCCAGAGGAAAGGTAAAGTAAACCCCGAGGAGCATAAAGTCCGATCCTTAGCCAAGCCCAGATACGGCTTCCTCATTGGGACAATTTGTCATGATGCGCACACTAGTAACTAGTTTGAGAGCACAGTACTTAGTACGCATATAAGCGTAGTCATGGGAAGAGTAATAGTTAGTAGTCGTGGTCCGTGGATGTACTTCGGGTAGCCCGGGTTTTTCAGGCACCACTGATATGGTAACTCTTATAGTCTATCCTTGGCTATATCGCTAGTAACCGTCTAAGGGCTGACAGGCTAGTTTGACCCTCAAACAGTCGAAATGATCTTCGAACGCACAAACGTCAACGTTGCAGGATTTGTATTTGGGCATCAGGAGTAAGACACGATATTCAGCTAGAGCATGGATGAGGTCCAGTAGAAGCTCAGGAATTACCTCCCAGTCAACAACAAAAGGGCGAATGCTACCTTAATATCACTCGGAAATATATTTAGTAACCTAATAATCAACAGGACCATCATCCACAATCAAGGCGCATTTGGCGATACTCCACTATCATCTCATGACACAGAATTCGCTGATAAGATCTCATCGATCCAAGTTTATAACACGGTTGTATATTTCGATCAGGGATAAATCTCAAACAATTGTTCATCAGAACTCCCAAACAGAGTCGTGCAGAAGTACTCTATCCTTAATGATAGTACATAATGACTCTGTTGCTTCGAGTAGATTGATAATCACCAATTCCCCTGCTCTTTTCTTCCTCCTTTTTTTTTTTTTTTTTTTTTTTTTCCTTTCAGCCGTGCGATTCAATACGAGGGCCATCATAAAGTACTATCTATTTTGTAGATATTAGATACCCTAAGTAACTGTCAGCCAAGCGAGCAGATGACCAAGCCCCTGACCGACCTTACCTGCCAGACTCCCGAGTTTGATTACTGCGACAGGGTTCAGAGTCTAGACCAGTGGATCAGGACCATTTATTGAGACAAATATTACGGATTGACGACCTGGAATTCAGGCATAATTGAAGACGCACAGTGCATGATCTCTTCAGGTTCGAACTGCTCGCCAGTTGGCATGACTGACCGATGACATTACTCCATACATCTGGCGATGTCAATCGTCAACGTGGCCAAGCGACAGACTCTGTACATGGGAACGGTGTGCAATATAACTGTATGATATACATGATGTAAGGCATTGTGGAAAAGGCTCACCGCCACGTTGGTTGTCACGACTCATGAGGAACGTTGGTGAAAAATTCCAATCATGCATGGCTGCATGCATATACAACCGAGCAAAGTCAGACCTCTAGCCTGCTTAGCTGATATGACAGTGACAGTTGTCAGGCGAACGTTGGTCTTCTTCACTCCCAAGATAGACCAACATAATTTCTCTGGGAAACTCCTCACCGATCATAGTGATTTCAGTATAGGCCATGGTATCTGGCACGGGAGCGAGCGCTTGCCGCGGAGTCGAAAGAATGAAAAGTACCAAAATGTCGACTCGAGTCCAATGCAGCATGAATTCTGACTGGCTGCTAACCCATACACAGGATGAAACGGAACCAAAGATCCATTTTTGGACATTGGATGCTCGTATATCAGGATTCAGGAATGGTGGGGTACTTTCACCATGAGCCTTGATCTAGGAGATCAACGTGTAGCGAAAAGAGAGACTGGATTGCTCGTTCTATTGATTAACAGCCACTGAGCTCTTGGATAGGCCTACCTATCTCCGGCAGAAAGGCGCTACTATCTCTAGTTCCTGAGCGATGTGGGCGTGTTTCCCACCGTCGGTAGCTGCCGTTACCATAAAGGGTAACGTACGCAAGCCTTCGGATCCTGTCACTGTCAGAAGAAGCGAGTGGCTTCCCAAATAATGGGCACAGGGGGAGACTAATTCAACTTCGAAGTCCTACAACTCCGCGGGATTGCGACCACAGCCTCTGCCGCGTTGGTGGATTCATACGACAAGGATGAATGAAAATTCCCCGATACACCAGTCCATCGCCCATGACAAGGCCGACGGGCAGATCCCGCGCCTGGTGGGGGATCGTACCTATTCATGGAGGAGACAATTAAATGAACCAATGACGTTCCGCCGTAACCGAGTTTTCGAGGGTGGCTCTTGCTAAGCCCTCAAGGCTAACGGAGTAAACAGGTTGTTGGGGCAAGCTAAGTGACCGGGGAGTGATTCACCGAGTTCAGGATTACCTACTGTTTGTTGGGAATCTTTGCAGGGTGCTCAAGAACGCGAAAGAAGAAAAAGGAATGATACATGCGCAATCTACGGCGAGAATACGTAGTTCTACACTATTGCTCTATCATCGAACGCCTTGATGTAAATCAAGAAAAACGCATGCAGATACCAATCATGCAGCAAAGCCCTATTGCGTCATTGGAAAGGTCAGATAGAGAGGTGTATGGATTAAAAGTCTGCGGGACTGCTAGGAACAGGATGGAGGGGGAGTTAGTGAGTGGAGTTTGAGAGAGGGATTCGAAATCGAGCCCAAGATTGGGTCACGTTGGACCGGGCCGGGTGGTCTAAAGGAAATGGATACGCAGCTAATGATAGGTAGCGGAAGGCCTTGGGGCTTGAGGTTTGCCGTCATCCGCAGTACTTTGTGCAATGGTTTCAAGGACGGTTTACTGTCAGAGTCAACTGGTCAATGTAGTATTTAAGACACAGGCGCCTCATAGACACTAGCAGCATTGTACATATTCCAGAAAGGGGAATCACAAAAGAGTTGCCTGTCTGCCTTAAAGGTAGTCACATCGGAAATCATTGTCTGTTCTGTCACTAACCTTTTACCTTTTTGGGTTGATTCTTATGTCCATTACAGAGCGCCAAGGAGTTAGGCACAGAGACTTCATAGTTACAACTTACAAGGATTCAAAGGAATTTGATTGCACCGCCGATCAGGCATAAGTACGGGAAAACTGATAGTCAAAAACCCACAACCCAATGGAATAGCGGGATAAGTGGATAGTAGCAGGGCACGGCCCGGGGAGCGCGGACCGAACGTCGCCAACGCTTGTCATCAGAACCAAATACGATTATACGATAGGCGATGTCAATCCTCCAGAGTCCAGACTCCGCACCGTCCACCTGATACTCGCACACTGACACCAGCACTGACAGACATGCGCAATCATTGGAGCGCCAGCCGCGATCTCTTGTCCATAGCCTGAGAACCGATCCGGTTTCCCTTCCCCTGGGTTACGCTAGCAGCACTTATTTTCCCAAGCTGGCCCCGTGCATTCCCTAAAATTTCGGCGCAAAAGTACTGCCTGTGCAAAGTACATTTTATGTCGGTGATGACCTGCCTCTCTCCTTTCCCCTGCATCAGCTTCTTTTCCGGTGTCAGGAACGGGGATCCAAGTGCCAGGTAGATGGGATGAGCTCCCTTGCAAGGCGACGCAGACCCTAGCCATTTCAGCCACATGCTATCACCGTCCGCTCTCTACTTTCCTGACAGGGAGAAATGAAGGGCCAAAGCCATCTCTTGTGGTGCCTCTCCGTGAATTCGAGGCTTGCAGAGAGTTGACAAATACTGGTAGCCCAGCATAGTGGCTGGCTCCATGGACCCAAAACGCTGCGAGTTGGAACTGCGACATAAGTACTCGCGGCACGCTTGATTCAAATGAAGCCGCTGCAAGCCTGGAACAGCAAGATGGAGCATGTGCAGTGCGCCATCACCACATGGGATAGGGGACCCAAGTCCAACCTGTCTCACAATGCCTTTCTCGTCTACACTTTCATGACGACACTCCATGTTAAAACACTTTGCTAAACCAGTATT